GTGCAGAGCTTTACAAAATAAAGGGGGATAGTACAATTACAATACAGTACAATACAGAAGGAACAGGAGGGCCCTGCTCATGGAGCTTACAATCTAATAGAAGAAGGACAAAAGGTAATAGGTTCAGGGGATGACCTGATGGAGGTGACTCAAGTACGGCTTTCTAGGTGAAGGTGGGGTAGACTTCCCTGAATAAATGAGGGTAGGGAGCTCCAGAGGATAGGAGAGATTCTGGAAAAGTCCTAGAGGCAAGCTTGGTTAGAGGTAGCAATGGAGCTAACAAGAGAGATAAGAATTCCACGAGTTGAAATTGAGAAATTATTTTCATTTCCTCAAAGGGAGGTATTCACACTTTTGTGTTTTGAGTGTTTTTTGTCACATCAAAGCTGTGTTTTGGGGATGCCAAAAAAATGCCACTTTCTGAAAACAGGTGCATTGTTGTCTATGGAACAGCGCACACAGCTGTGTAAATATAAGTAAATATAAGTAATACAGTGTTGAATACAGAGCCATAAAAAAATGTAAAAATTAACGTTTGAGTTTCATTTACACTCATACACGCATGTATACGCATATATATGTGCATATACACTTGTACATTGCAATACTGAGAACTAGAAGAGAGTAAAGAATTGTACTCATGTATACACAAACACAAGTTTATGAGTCTTTTATGCATGTCTATGCAAGATCTTTACGAAACATTTTACTCAGTAAGGCCTTGTTCAAATTCACATGATAAGTTGCACCTTAATGTCAACAATGGAACCGTCTAATGGAACTGCGACTCCGACTTTGCAGCGCTTCATGAATTGAAAAAAAGGTTCCTGCACTATTTTTCCCGATTTCAGGTGTGACTTGCATAGACAGCTTAGAAAACGTGACATCTAGTGAATTAGCACAATTTCAAAGTCGGATTCAGTGTGAACCATCAGTTACTTTAATAATAAAAATAAGTAAATTATTATGTCGGTACGCAGGAGGCCAAAAAGGACAAAAAAGTAACACAACTGTACAGAAATAATGCTTAGCTGGTTCCCATCCGGCCAATAGCACAAAGGCGGCCGGCAAAACACCTTGTCCCTCAGGATGGACGCCATATGGCGTCTTTTCAGGCATGCACAGTGCGCCTGCCCGCAGGACCGCCCTGCGGAGCGATCTGTCACTGGCCGTGTACCTCGGACACGGCCGATGACAGATCTGTGTACCGGCCCCGTTTTCAGTACCATGTGACCTGCTGTGACCAATCACAGCAGGTCACATGACAGTTGTATACAATGGATGGCTTCCTTTCATGCCATCCATTGTATACTAGTGTGTCTAGCTGTGAATGGTCACAGAGATCACATGCACAAGCTGGGCTAATCACAGCCCAGCTGTGTCATGTGATTAGCCCTGGCCAAATCACAGCTAAGCACAAAAAAAAACCCCCAGAATTAATCGATGTCATTCAGGTAAATGCTTGCTTATAGCAAAGTAATTCTTTGCTATAAGCAAATTGTGTAAAAAAAAAAAAAAAAACTGATCACTTCCCCAAAGTAGTACAATGTTACTATGGTAACATTATACTACTTTGGTAATAGTGAAATATAAAAAAAAGAGAAACAAAATGTAATATAACATTAAAACTAATAAAAAAATTAAAAAAATTATATTTTTTTTTTTCGTACTGTCACCAGTCAGTGTTCCTGATCACCGCCATGCCAGTTATATGATGATACTGTACTGCACTGGTGACAGTATGTAAAAAAAAAATGGTGAAAATTATTTTTTCCAATTTTTTCATTTTCTGAAAAATTATGACAAAAAAATTACAACTTCAAAAAACTCGCCATGCCTCTTATGAAATATATCGGACTGTCTACTTTGCAAAAAAGGGTCATTTGGGGGATATCTGTACTGTTCTGACATTCTTGGACCTCAAGAAATTGGCTGTCAGATTGATCAACATTCATATCTATACCATAGTTTGTGAACTCTTTAACTTTCCTACAAACTAAATAATACATCCTAATTTGGGTTATTTTCACCAAAGACATGTAGTAGAATACATCTTGGCCTAAATTTATGAAGAACAATTATTTATTTGCAAACTTTTATAACAGAAACAAAGAAAAACGTGTTTTTTTTTCAAAATGTTCGGTATTTTTTTGTTAATTTAGCAAAAAACAAAAACCCCAGTGTTGATTAAATGCCACCAAAAGAAAGCTCTAGTTGTGTGAAGAAAATGATAAAAATTTTAATTTGGGTACAGTGTTGTATGACTGCGCAATTGTCATTCAAAATGTGAGAGCGCTGATACCTGAAAAATGGCCTGGGCAGGAAGGGGGTAAAAGTGCCCTGTATGGAAGCGGTTAATTACACAAAAAAGCAAAAAAAAAAAAAATATATACAGAGAACACTAAATTAAATAATTGAAACTACACAAATACACAACCGTCATGAATAAAAACATGAAAAGTGCCATCACTGATATCTAGAAATACTGGTTGTCTGGCTGTCTCTGCTATTTCTTTGATGGCAGGTTTAGTTCTACAGGTCTGTACTTCTTGAGTTTATCGGCCACTGGCAGAATATCTGCATCACTGTTCTTTTCTTTTTCAGCAGGGATTCTTTCCTAGATTTCTCAGAAATTGATTAGTTATCTGAAATGTAAGAAATTTGTAGTTTTTTTAATCTACATTCTTGTTTCCTAAGCTTTATGCTGTCAGTCTAGACTTATCAACAGAAGAAATCAACTGCAATACATTTATTAGCTATTGGTTTGCTACTCAAAATACTTCCATTTCGTGTGTATCTAATTAGCTGCAGGTTCCTTTCAACGGAATGTATTTTATAGTGTTTGTTTTTCATGTTTCCTGACAGGACTGGACTGACAGCATAATGGGAAGTCAACAAGCTTCTCAACCACAGGTTCAGGGTCCTAATATTGAGGCTAGAGCAGAATGTTTTATGCAGTGATAATTATGCAGTTCCTTGGCTGTGGATCTGGTACACACATATCAGACACCTGTACCACCATGAGGAACAAACAAGGTAAACAAAAATCAAGCTCAGGGTCCTTTTAACCCTTCCATCTTGTTCTGAAATGCACTCCAAATAAATGCATTTTACGTGTTTATTGTGATGACAGCGTCACATAAGGCATATGAAACCAACGTTTTGGGGCCTTGCAGGGTCCCTTCCAGTGCCGGATTAAGCTGTGTGGAGGCCCCTAGGCAGCTGAAACCTTGGAGTCCCCCTCACAGCTTTTTGGAGGTTTCTCATGCGCCAGCTCTACTGGGATTGTGATGGATATGGTAAAATGCCTATTTGGTTTCTTGTTGGATATTTACATTTTTCTATATATATATCTACTTTTATACTTTAGTACTTTTTTATATTTCTAAATGTATTGTATGACTATATATGTGTTGTGTGTATATTTGTTGTCTGCTGGTCTTTGTAGTTCTCCTTGCTTAAGAAATGTCTGCTCACCAACCCCTCCCTTCGAGCCAACTTGAAGACAAAGGAATGTTTTCCTTCCTATAGCTAAGACATCGGCCAAGATCACGCCTATACTCTGGAGAAGGTTGTTTTCGTGTAAAGTGACCAATCAAAGACTAATATAATGCTTATGCTGTTCTCATGTGATGTTCGCATAATTTTTCATATATAAACTCACTTTTTCATTTCAATAAATTAGAGAAGAAGTTTTCACAGACCAAGCGTGTCAGTGTGAGTTTCTTAATGTGTGCACACATTCCAGAGCTAGCTAGCAAAGATTAATTAGGACAGGAGCAGATAATCACAGTGCTCTTAGTCCTCATCTAAATCAGGATAAGTAACTAAGGGCTAATGTACACTGCAGCTCCTAGACTGACGTTCAGGAGCTGTTCAGCATTTTTTTTCAGCAGCCCCTGAACTCTCCTTTATGTTTTTCCTGTGTCCATGTACATATAGTCGTTTACAGTCGTTTACAGGCAGTTGAGTTTACAGTCATTTTTTTGAACGAACCAAACTTGCATTTAGGAGTAGATTTTACTGGTGTTTCAAACACCAAATGCTTGTAAACGCTTGTAAATGCAGTTAACTGCATTAATAAGTGTTTGCGTTTAGAAGCGTTTTTTTAACTATTCCATGTCCAGATGCTGTCCAGAGCCTTTTTTCATCATCACAAAAGCATGCAAAGCGTTTTCCATGTATTCAAATGGACCTAGTACACCAGCACAGTCAGTTCCAGGTTTCAAGTGAAGGAAAAAATGGTAGAACGTGCTGCATTATGCTCATGATGGGATCCACAGTGAATACAACCAGAAAAGACAGGTAATCTTAACACATACTGCTCTCTCTACTTCTGCTCTATTTCTCTCAAAATGACTGAAATAGTTAATTTTGTAATATTTTTCAGTGCATTTTGAGCATTTGGGAAGGTCTCCTGAGGTTATCTTTTAACCTCCCTAGCGGTATGATTATTTCAGATTTTTGCTGCTGAAAGTGGTACCATTATTTTGCATGGAAATATGTAGTTTTTTTAATGTAGGCTGTAATATTTAGGAATAACTCACTGAAATCTGTCCGAACAAGAGTCTATTAAACATCCCGGGTATGATAAAAATTTGAAACACAAAATCATAAATTATAATTTAATAAATAATCATAAAAAATAATAATATAATAATATTACATTTAATTCAATAATATAATCAAACCAAAAACACTGAAATTTGAAATATAGCGCCAAGTTCGCACATCGCTGAGCAAAGTCGCAAAATTGTTTCCAGTGTCTGATGACAAATTTCTCCACGAATCATCACTCAATTCTGCAAGTGGTTCTGATTTACTATTGCTGTTCTCTAGCTGGTCTAAAACTGCTTTTGACCTAAAGGGACACTTTTTGGACGCCATGAACTTTTCTAAGTTTCCAGGCAGAAAGAACATTCAAAATGCATTGAGGGGACAGGACAAAGCACTAGGGACAAAATGTATGTGAATGGGTTGAAACAGCAATGTTTTACTATGTAAAATCATTTTGAAAAAAATGACATTTTTTTTTAAATTTTCAAATTTCCCGCCACCGCCGGTGCCCGTACGTCCCGACGTCACAGGGACTGGAACACAGGAGCCGGATGCCGGCATCAGCCGGAGGAGATGGCCGGGGACGCTTCAGGGGACACATTGCGGGAGCGAAGGACAAGGTAAGTGCTGCAAGGACTCCCTATGCAGCGCTGCATGGTAAGCCCGAGTGTATCTCGGGGTTACCGCTTTTGGTACAGACATTTTACCCCAAGCTACACTCGGGAATACCGTTAGGGAGGTTAAAAATGCTTCTAAATGCAAACGCACATAAACACGGCTAAACTGACATTTTCTAACTTACATTTTCCAGCAGTCAGTTTCCATCGTTCAGAAGAGTTTTCCAAATGCCCCGTGTACATGAGCCCTAAGTACTATGCATGTCAGATGCTAAATGGAGATGACCATCACTACTGTAAACTGACAGCTGAAAGAAGATGAGCTTTTAAGAGACAAGCTGTACTGTGAACCCGATCTCTAAGGTTTATGTACTTTTAAGTTATTCTTGGGTACATTACATTAATACAGAATTTTCTCTATAAAGTCTTTATTGTAATGTTTTTGTTTCTTTGGGTTGATTCATTTTTACTATCATTTGTAAACAATTTAAGAAAGCTTCAAGATCAAATCAATATTATTTTGATCAGTTGTCGCAGGGCCCTTAACTCCGTGGCGCCAAAGGTACACAAATATGCGGCCTCTCAGCGGCTGGGCCTTGACTTGGAGAGGCTGCATATTTGCATAACTGATGTAAACAAACATGTGCTCTTGGCACAGTTACTGGCGTCTCATGGAAAGCTCAAGATTGCTGGTAGCTTTCCGATCATGTGGCCACTGTGACAGCCAATCACGGCGGTCACATGACCCTAAACCCCACCTCTCAGCATCATAAACCCTTAAAGGGCTGGTAGGCGCTGGTGCCAATGGGTTAAACAGCGTGGGGCCCATAGGCCGGTGCCTACCCTTCCTATTTGGTCATCCAGCACTGGTCCCTTCCTCAATCTTGCCTTTAGAAAAGACCCCATACTCTTGATTTCTTAAGCCTTACATGACGCTGTTTTCACAATAAACACGTGAAATACATTTATTTGGAGTCTTGGTGACTTTGCATTTGGTTCTAGCACAGCACCGTCTGTGGCATTCACTTTGAGCACCCATCATTACAAGGAGTGCAACTTTTTATTTGAACTTCATTAAACTGTTTTGTAACTATACTGTCTCTCTCTATTTTGTAAAGTGTTGTGCAAACTGTTGGAACTATATAAAAATCTTGTATAATAATAATAATAATTATAATAACTGACACTGTGGTAATGATGTGGAAAAACTATGGAAGTAAACTCCTCATTCCTGAACACCTAATATAAAGTTACTCAGAATTTCCACCTGTTAGTAGTTTACTGAATGCACAAAAATACTTGTGATGAATAAACACTTTCCTATGTTGTCAGATTCCACTGCTGCCACCAGAATATGATGTATTACACACTCAACCTCACCCTGCACAGAGATTTTTTAGCTCACAGCCAACAATCTAAGCAGCAGAAGATTGAGAGTGATTGTCACTGAGGCAAGTTAACTATGTAGTTAACGCTTTACACACACACCAAGCCACCACCATGTGTTTTAATGGAACATACGCATCTTTGACAGCATATGCTGTTGCAATGTTGACCTTTAAGAAATGCCTGTAAGCCCTGGTTTACACTGAATGTAACTTTGAAATCTCGCTACTTTACTTGAAGTAGCACGATTTCAAAGCCGCAGGTCAGTGTGATTTCAGGTCCGACTTGCCTGATATCTGTGTGATTTCATGCACAGATGTCTATGCAAGCCGCACCTGTACCCACCGAAAATAGTGCAGGAACTATTTTCAAAATCGGTGCAACTTCAATGGAGTCAGAGCCACACTGATTTGACCGGTTCCATTGCCGACAATAGGGTGCAACTTTTCATGTGATTTGGAACTGTCAAATCGCATGACAAGTTGCACCGATGTGAACCGGGGCTTACACTCGTAACACAAGGACTTCTTTTGGCAATATTTTTATTTTCAATGCTATATTATAGACAAAATACTTTTCTATAATTTGATTAGTGTTAGTATTAAAACAACTAGTGTTAGTAAAATGTGAATATTTTATTCTATAAATTGTACCACTTATAACGGCACAAAGCTTTGCAATGTTATTCACAAATGAAACAAAGGCTTTCAAAAATGCTATTTTGTTTTACTGTGACATCGAAAAAAAATTAACAAAAAAATTAAAATTTAAAAAGATTAAATATTAATTGTAAAAATTTGAAAAATGCATTTGGAAAAAAATAGCTAAGCCAAAATGGGTAGGAAGGGAAAAATAAGAGCTGAATAGGGTTAACTAAAGTTTTATAAGTAGGTAAATAGCAGCAAATGTTATTTAAATGCTTTTTTTAATCTTAAAGGATTCTTTAACTGATGTCATGAACCAGCACATACAATGTAAAAGAGTATGGCAGAGGAGATAAGCCATAGGAGATTTGTAGAAGTTTTTTTTTAAGTGTGCTTCTTATGCCCAAAAGATGTTACAGTAAAGTTTCACTTTCTCTTAAAAGAATAGCTAAAATATTTAATTTCTAAGCAATGAATTCTGTAATTTAATAAACATAAATATTCTTTTCAATCTACAGCTATGATCATTTTGTAAAACTGTCAAAAAACTCAAGATTCATACAAGGGCGGACTGACAACTCATGGGGCCCCTGGGCAATAGGGGATCATGGGGCCCCTGTGTCCTTGCCCTCACTCAAAGCACACCAAAAAAAGCCTATAAAAGGTACCAGGGGCATTTCATGGGACCCCCTACTGACCCTGGGCCCTCGGGCAGTGCCTGAGTGCTTGAATGGTCAGTCCGCCCCTGGCTTCATAGCTTCCTTGTAATGATACAACAGGGGTATGGTGTACATCAGTCGTGGACTAATTGTACCCTTGGCCCAGGCTGTTTTCAGTTCATAGGCCTTTCCAATTCAAAGTGATCATGCATCAATGTACACCAAAATTAACCTTTCTAATATGGGTTTTCTAAAACATTTCTGCAGGATTTGGAATGCAGTGTTTAAAATTTGAATTTACATAGTTACAAATAGTTACATAGTTCGTCTGGCTGAAATAAGACAAATGTCCATCCAGTTCAACCTATTAAAAAAAAAAAAAAAAGTTATAATCCTATACCCACAGTTGATCCAGAGGAAGGTAAAAAAACCCAGCAAAGTATGACCCAATTTGCTCCTGCAGAGAAAAAAGTTCCTTTCTGATTCCCGGAGAGGCAATCAGATATTCCCTGGATCAACTGTACCTATAAATGTTAGTATCCAGTTATATTCTGTGTATCTAAGAAAGAATCCAGGACTTTTTTTTTAAAAGCAATCCACTTTGCTGGCCAGAACCAACTCTTGATTAATTTTCTTCAGAAATATATTTTGCAAACTACTTGCATAATAAGGGAAATATTCTGCCAAGTACAGAGGGTATGAAAGTTTCATAATATTAATGGAAATCTTTACACCAACACAAAAACTGACATTACTAATTCCCTTTTGAAAAAAGTCTACAGACTTGCAAAGCTTAAACTGACTCTAGGAAGTGCACTGAAGTTCAAAACTTTTTTCAAATTTCCATGGGCCCCCAAAGTCTGAACTGCCCTTTATCCACCGCTGGTATTCAATTTACCTTTGCAAACGTCTCCCAAAAAGGTTATTTCCTGTTTCTCTTAGTGGCTCATGGCTTTTTTACCAACTCTGCACAAATCAAATTACAGGAAGCCACTACAAAAGTGGTTTCATTTTTGGTAGGATAATTCCAGGACTCAGCATGGCTGTTTAAAAATTTGGTTGAGGAAATATATGGTAAGACATACAGAAACTCCATAAAATAGAGAAATGTACAAATATATATTGTAATATCTTTTTAATTAATACAGTCAACTGAGATTTTTTCCCCCCAAAACGTAGACTTTCATTTTAAATCACAAATTACAGCAATTTCCCATGTTTGCCCTTTTTAGCGGTTGGGCAACAGCTAACTGGCTGTCCAAAGTATCTCACGATGAAACATAATAAAGTAGTAAAGCATTTTTACTTTGCAATGTGAATGTTCACTTAGTTTGATATATAGGGCAAAGCTAGATTCATTTCACTCATCCAATCAAGTGCAAGCATAAAACCTGTTTTTTTTCACTTTACTTGCTCGATTATAAACCAAAAAAAAAAGACCGATCACAGAATAAAGCTACCAACTTTCATATTTCTTGCTTCCCTTACAACAGAAACTACACAGATTACAAGTAATTTCCTTTATAGGTGGGGGTATTTTTTATATGACTAGTATCAGTAACTCCTTCTTACAATTTAACAATTTCATTTTACTACATACCTCAAATAATCATGGAACCAAAACTGTTGTGGTATCTACATTATTATTTTTTGCCATCCATATTTCCAAAACAAGAATACATTTTGATCAGAGATCTCCAATCTTTCATCAAATTAAGTCAAAAGGTTACTCCTCTTTCCTTTTTATCTATTTTGTCATAAGGCACACCGTTGCTATGCAACGTTTGTTACTATCATTTACTTTGACCTTTATTGGCCGTGAAAAATGCCTATATTGAATTACAGGATTTAGCAAAAAGAACAATGTGGATGCTTCTGCTGGAAGACTCTTGGGTGAATATCAAACTAGCTTGGAGGTCACTCGGGCAAGGGAGCAAAGCTCTGCACTAAAATAGAACTACTGTCCTCTAGCTCAGCGTTTTTCAACCACTGTGCCGCGGCACACTAGTGTGCCGTGAGATATTCTCTGGTGTGCCGTGGGAAAAATTCAATTTCATCTGTAACATGTGGCTTCGGCTCACAAATAGAAATAATCATTAGAATCTAATGACAGTAACCGCGGCTTCGCGAACTGTACCCAGTCTAATGCGGCTCTTCTGTGTATCTATTTTAGTTTTTTTTGGCAAAAAGTATTTTAATCCCTGGGATGTGGCTTTATTGCGGGCCGGGCAGCTGAATGTGAAAATTGTCACAGTCCGCCCTGAAGAATCCAATGACGCGGGAAGGAGCAAAGGA